TCTCTCTCTCTCTCTCTCTCTCTCTCTCTCTCATTCTTTCTCTCTCATTCTTTCTCTCTCATTCTTTCTCTCTCATTTGCCATAAGGCCTTGTCTCATTTTTCTGCTCTTAATTCTTTAAAAAACACACTTGTGGTGTCGTGCTGTCCATGGTGCTGAAAGCAGTCGTCTGCAGATGGCTTGCTAATACGCTGAAGCTTGATGGCCCTGTCATCGCTCAACAGGTGCCTTTTACTGCTACAGCTACACAGAAATAAGGGAAGTTGATTTCAGTTGTAACTCTGTCATTTAAAACGGGTGTTGTGATTGCATGCACTCTGAGTTTTCCTCTGAAATGGCATGCTCCTGACACAGAAGCAATTAATTTGCCAACATGGAATTATGCAATTCAAAGGGCAGTGGGCATTGCAAAATTACTGCTTTTTAACACACATTATTTTACAGATTTTTGGGTTTGTGATACTGCTCTTAATTTCAGGATGTATCAATCAGCAAAAAATCTTGGGATGATTACCATAGAATCAAGCAGTAAAAATTTATACATATTAATATCTGATCAATATTAATGCTTAATAATAAAGTATTAATAATAATTAATACTTTATTATTTCAAACAGAAAAATCTATGCTGGACAGGCAGTAAGCGTTCAGAAGCTCCTAGCATTTAAGTCAAAAGCAGTCCATCCAAACCATTGAATGGACATCCGAGAGGAAAATGAAAACCATGGTGATGATGATGCTGATGATTGAGTTGGTGAAAACAACAATAAGAAGTAGAAGCAGAATATTATATAACAGACCAATTTAGCAACTGCACTATGTCTGTCTGCATATCCCTCACACACTCTGTCAAACAGCCTCCAGGATATCCAGGTCTCACATTGGAGGATGAAGTCACATGTAGAGACACACCACAAGCTTGAGGGGCAGTCGTTCCTTGCTTAAGGGCACTTTAGCAGTAACAAAGGTCAAGAGTGGGGCATCTGCACCCCCCTCCTTTTATATTTCTTTTGCACTGGCTGAATATTATCATGTTGAAGAGATGTATTGAAATTGCAGCTGAATGAAGAGGATAAGGCACAACTCATTTGTTGGTGACGTTTATTGAGCATTTCTGTCTTTAGCTGTCTTCACAATTTAACTCCAGATAGTGTTAGAAGAATCACAGGACACAGCAGGAGGCTGTCTGCTTCAGATGTGTTCTCACTACTGGAAATAAAATGTTTAGGGTTGGGATGCACTTGCAGGAAGAAGGATATAAGATGGCTATTACTTGGCTCTGATTTCACTGGACTATTGTCTTCATCGATCTCATATTGGCACAATAAACTTGAAACAGATTTGTACTAGCGAGCTGACATGTCAAAGACTGCTTGATTACTAATACGACTGCTCTGTACATGTGCATTCTCATGCATACGTTGGATAATGTTTAGAGAAGTCGATATCTACAGTGCACATGTGATAATAGCTTTTATTAGATAACAATATTGGAGATGTGGCAAAGAAGGGGTAGAAAAATGGTTCCTTCAATGCAGTAAAGTAGTACGTTTAATAAGTGTTTAAAATATTTTGTATATTATTGTTTACTTATCTATTTATTTTGTCAGCCTTTAATCTATCTGCTTGTAATAATGCTAATCTAATGAAAACACTTTTTTGATGCCACATCTTTAGGGTATCATTCATAAACTCATATGGGTTTTTTCATGTGTTATGATTTCTTCGTGTTACAAATTTTAAACAACTTTAAAACAATTGTAAACAGCATACATAAACTAACAATGCGCTCTTAACCTAGACGATGCAATATTTGATTCATCTGCCATTTTCGGGTGCTGTAGCTGGGTTGAGCAGGCGACACATATGTCTTAAGGCCACTTCAGAGGCTCGTGGGTTCATATGTGCGCCGAGGCTATTTATTGCATGTCTCCCCACTGCTCTCTCCCAAGATTCTTGTCCTGCATCGACAAAGGCTAACAAATTGTCATTTTTTCAGTATCGATTAAATAAAACTAGCAAATGCTGAAACGTGTGGAAGTGCAAGTAAAAAAGGGATAACAAAATAAACGAACAGACTTAGTAATATCAGCTTGGCAGCAATATTAATCGAAAGCTTTCGGACTCTTGCCCCAGTGAGCAACTAGAGACTAGCTGGTCGTGTCAGATGTAGTAAGGCTTCAGCAATGAAACCCCTGAATCTGAATATTGCATTCACATACATAATATATGTTTTATTTTCAATTTCAAAACCACACTGTCTTGCTCCTATTCAAGGCTTTAGATGCAGGCAGGAACTATGTTACTGCAGAGGTTATGAAATGCTACTGGCCTCTCATTCATTTTTATTAGCAATAATAGGCGCTGACAGAAGAGTTGTGAGTGTGTGTGTGCGTGTGCGTGTGATAGATACAAGACACATACGAAAAAGGGAATTGATATTTATTTTTAAAATCTTTATTTGCCTTCAACACAAAATATTTCTGGTATATTGCAAATAACTACTTTAGAATAGAATATGAGCAGCACAGTGATGCACTGTTAAGCACACAACAATAGAGTTCTGGATTTGAATCCAGGAGCTAGCTGCGGCCTATGTGGAGTCCCTGTGCTCTCACTTTGCTAGCCTGAGTATCCAGGTACTATGACTCACAGTCAGTTGGTCAGTCAATTCTTAACTGACCGTAGGTGCAGCTGTGAGTGTCTTTCTCTCTTTGCAGCAGTAGACAGATGACAGGTACAGGTACACCTGAATTGGATAAGAGGTTAATTGATTTATTGAGATTGATTCTTTAGAATAGGTGATGTACTAATTTCTATACTGTAAAATATAGCTGTGACTAACCAAGAGAAAATCAGACACGTAAACATCAGCTCTTAATTTTATGAATGGCCAACTGGCCTCCATCACCCTTCCTCTATGAGATGCTGCTCAGCACTGACGTCAGTGAGTCTGCTTGCGCATAAAGGCTAATATAATCAGAACACACACACACACACACACACACACACACACACACACACACACACACACACACACACACACACACACACATCTGATCTCTGATTTGAGAAAGTGACTGCTTATTTAGGAGCAGATTTGCGTAAAAATAGGCTTTTTCTACTTTTCTTTTCACAGGCTTCACTTGCAATTTTGAGATCGTTCCTAAAAATGAGTGTACGGAATCACACTAAAGCTAAAAGCTGCCACTTAAGCATATGTTTCTAAGCTGGAGAAAAACACTTTGCTAAAAGGTAGCTGATGAATATAAATGGCTGCATGATGCAGTTTTGTAATCTGTATAAAAAAGTCTGCACACACTGATGTATTTGCCACTTTCAGACGCAGCACCCATTTCTTCCACTCAAGGTTTGCCTTTCAAAAAACAATTGGCTCCCATTATTTAAAAAATCAATAAAATAGTGAACCAAGGCATTCTGTTCCACTGACAAATGCAGTCAATGATTTTGGAACTTTACAAAGTAGCTTCAATCTGTGGAATTGGTTGTGTAGGAATGATTGGATGCCTCTGGGGCTCTGTCCTATTTCTACCCCGAACAGTCCTATTTCCCCTCATTTTCCCTTCATTTCAGTGTTGCCCAGGGTATATTGGAAAACAGCAACAAGAAACAGTTAACTAACCTAATATTTGCATCTTTACATCAAAGAGACAATAGTAGCGCAATACAGGAATGTAAAAAAGATCTCTGAAAATAGCTCCATATTATAAAACGATATTAATACAATGCTGTCAGAAACGTATTCCTCAATATGATGTATTTCATAAATAAATGTTCACCCCAAAAACAAATGAAAGATCATTAGTTAAATGCTTATAAATGTATTAATTTGACTCAGTTTGTCTCGCTTTTTTACAATATCAAGTCAGTCACTCCTCAAAAATTGCATTGGTCTGTTCAAAACTGTCACCACTGACCATTAAGAAAGGTCAAAGAAAACAAAGCACAGAACATCATTCAGTCTTGTTTAACTTTGAATCTGGCATTTATTCGTGTGTTAACTTTAAAATGCAAGGTTGTTTTCCACTAATTCGGTCAATTCAATTTATCCATTTGCTTTCTTTGGGAAAGTACCCTAAGGCTTTCCTTTGAAAGAAGTCAGAGAAACACTGCCAGAGAGAGAAGGGGATGAAATACACCTGGGAGTGTGGAGTGGTCGAACGGGTGAAAGTGGAA